TTTATTATAGGTACGATATGTTGTTCAAAGTCCGATGTCCAAAATAACAAATTACACCTACAATGTAATGGCCCTTCCGTTTATTGTTGTCAGTTGTCAGTTGTCACTGTGGTACATTGTACACTGAATGTGTCAAACCTTAGAAACACAATACTAACAACATGTCGTTTATTGTTATTTTTTTGTAACCCTAGGACTGTTACAGTTATAATAAACGGGAGATTGTAAACTCGGCCCGAGGAAAAAACATTTCCAAAAGGTCGATGGTAAACTCGGCCCGGGTTTTTTTCAGGTCAAAATTATTTAGATGTAAACTCGGCCCGGGTTTTTTTCAGGTTAAAATTATTTAGATGTAAGCTCGGCCCCGATTTTTTTCAGGTGAAAATGATTTAGGTGTAAAAACCATCATTTTTCTTATAATATTTTTGAGAAACATTTAGCATTACCCAGAGGACACCACGAGGCGGTTCTCATTATCCTTCAAAAATTATTTTCAGTTTCATATTATTATTCATAGTATGAAATTCGTTATTTAAATGAAAAATATGTAATTAAAATGTTATAATATTGATAATAAAATAATTATAAATGTAATTATATAAATTTATAAGTGTAAAAATGTGTAAAAATATAATAAAAATATATAAGTAAAATTGTAGTGTATATAATGAGTGAAAAATTTTAGTATAATAATATATAAATCTAGTTTTTTAAGTAAAAAGCCATGTATTTTACATATTCACTCACTGATATTTCTTTATTTTTATATTTTGTAAGTGTTCTTTCTAAGAGTTCTTTTTTTTTTTTAGTTTTTATATTTTGGAATTTAAATGGTCCATCTAGGCTGTTGATTTTAATGTACGTTTCTGTTTGTACTTCTTTTAATTTTGAAATGACGGAATATATATTGGGGTGAGTGGAATTAAAACTTGAATTAAAATGCGCATGAAATGATTCACATGCATTTGTTGTTAAATACGTTTCAACTGATGCACTGGCCCACATTTCAGGAGGAAACATAGAATCTGACACCTGACATTTTCGGGCCGAGTTTACAATCGATTTATTTTACCACCTGAAATTTCCGGGCCGAGATTACAATCTACCTATTTATATTACCTAAAATTCTCGGGCCGAGTTTACAACAAAAAAGGTAACTTCGGGCCCAGTTTACATTTGCCCATAATAAACTTCTTTATTTTTGTATGATTAACTTTCAAACATAATATTACCTCATGTTATTTGATAGATCGTGCGATGCACATAATATGTAAAATTGTTTCGTTTTTTCCCTTCATTAATTCAAATTTGAAGCCAATCAAATCAACACCGAAGAGCCTTTGATTTAGATAATATTCTATTTATATTTATATTTTTCGATTTAAATGCAAATCATAATTAATAACTATAATAAGGTTTTTTCTGTTTGTGAAATGGACACAGTTCCATTTTATATTTTACTTATACATTATCATTATAAAAAAAAAATGTAATAAGCAATGAGCATGTAATTAACAGATAAGTTCAAATATTATTACTCAAGTAACCAGAAAGCGTATAGTCGTATTATTAAAATGTATTATCGTGTAAGTTGGTACTCGTATAATATGCATTTACACGAAAAAATACGTACGATGTTATATGCTTATATGAGTGTTTGATTGAACAAACGTAGGTATCTATTTACTTCCATTAATAAATTACGAACATTTCGCTAATGATTTTTCTCATAAATACTGCAAGTGAAATTCCTTAAGTATGATGTTTTGTATTATATTATTGGGGGCATCGAATAAATTCATTTTAACATTACCGAGTACCGACCAACCCGTTGGTATACTTTTTCTGACAGAGGAACGATACAACCGTACAATTCTATGATAATCTAGCCAATGACTGCTTTTACATTTTTTTTAACGATTGATGCTATTAAAACTCCATTAACCTATACTGCATGGATACTTAAGATATATAATATGTACAATTAATCAAGCATTATATTATTTAGAATATAATATAAGAATTTATGTACCACTATCATTTTCAAACATATTATTATAACCATTGTAAAGATTTTAAAAATCGTATTTACGACTTTACGTAGTTACAGATTTTCGTTTCCCGTTGTTTTTCAATAGTCTTAAAATAAATCTATTTGCAAAAATAAATCAGCTTTTAATTTTAATTTTTTTTTTTATTAACATTTGTTTTTTGCAAAGTAATCAAGAGTCAAAGTGCAAAGTTCCACTTACAATGTTTCCCTAGCTCTATCAAACCAAAAAATAAGTTAGTGTAATCTGATCGCTCTACGAGGTATGAGAGTTTTGACTAAAGAGTGTTTTGGGTAGGTACTCTTAATTTTTCTTTCCAGCAGTGCCGTTGACATGTGTGCACCTGCTGCGCGTGCGTAGATAATCCCGCAACCCGTGTACAACCACTCAAACACTAATGATTAACGACTAAAGGTTAGGTTAGGGTGCGCTCCACATATAAAATTGGAAAATTATTGGTTTGGATGTATAGAACTTGAAAAATACACTACCGAAATCACGACGTATTGCTGAAACTGAATTTTTATTGAATCATATTTCTTTGGAATCGTAATCCGCTTGAGATATTATAATATTATATCGGCAACGAACTCGATCAGAAACGTATTTTTATGGGAAATATTGTTTTGGAAACATATGTTGATGGAACTATAACATACTGATTAATGTTTTGTCGAAATCGTATTTTCTCAGAAACTTATTTTCATGGAAAATATTATGCTGGGTTACGGTTCCAAAGAAATATGATATTTGCAGAAAAATATGTTTCTGAACTTATATTATTCCTACAAAATACATTTAAATTAAATATATTTCCAAAATTATATTTTCTGTTTTAATTTCCAAGCTATACTAGTAAATAGCAAATACTTTTCAGATAAATACATACGTTTCCAAACAAATACTTTTCTGATAAAATATGTTTCCAAATAAATACAATTCAGGAAAATTGTTTTCCGAAGTTTTACGTTCCAACCAACTTTTTTCCAACTATATATAGCCCTCCCAAAAAAAAATTCCATGTAATAGTTAGAAGATAACTTATCGCTTGAGCTCCACTTATTAAATATAGATATGAGCAGAGCACTTAAAACATATTGAAATACATATTCTATAATCCATGAAGTCTCGGAAAAAATTTAAAACGATTTTGGACAATTATTATATAAAAACCAACCTAATTTCGAGTACTATGTTTAAAAATGACATTGTATAGGTATCATTGTGATGATTGTATGCAATTCAATGGATCATATTATTATCATCTGACATTCTGACATGTGGCTCGTTACGGTCGAGGAGTAGGTATACATGTACTACGACAACGACCGCGAGTTCTGGTGTGACTATCAATTCGTCGCTGTATACGATTTTCCGTGCAGTGAGTCTATTCTCTGAATAATATTATAATATTGAACAATCTCATGACACTATTGTATAATATTTTATCGCCGATCATATTTCAACCATCAAGCCATCCCCTAAAAACCACCATGAAGCATTAAGTATTGTAAGAAGCACGACGCGTCGTGATTTGAACGATTGTACTCATAAGCCCCAAACGGAATATTAGTTTTGATAGCACTTGATGTGCTCACCGAAATGTATGCAGAGTCATTCACAAAAGTCAAAATGACACCATGGGGAAACTGTTATTCTATAGACTGTCGATTGTAATGTCGAATAAATGTATAACTTATGTGCAATTTTTTTTCTCGCACAGTTTACAAAAATCTACATGGAACGAAAAGGGTAAATAATCTAATATAGACCTTATTCCAAGTGTAAAGTCAAACAAATTTCATTTTTCACCAAATAAAACACTTTCGTGCATCGCGGTGCCTATGAAGTTCGGTTTTGAATGGCAGAGGTATCCTAACATACCTTTCGTATGTACCTACCATGGCGAAGTGATCGCCGTTTTAACCCAAGTCACCCATCACACAATAATAACTTAACGAGTAATATTATATATTAGTGACCTACCATCTACCAAATACAGTGACTTGGTAACCACACGTATTTTATAGTGACTGCCTGATTTTTTTTATAGGATGGAAAGATAGGTCCGATTGTCTGAAGCCATAACAATATGATGTTATATTGATTGTGTGAATAACTTTATAATTAAAGTTCAAGTAATATAATAATAATCAGTAATTACTATATAATTGCTATAATTACATAAAATAACCCAATGTAAAATAAGGCGAAACAGATATAAATTTAACGCATATGTGATAAACAATTTATAAAAAATAGGTATAGTTACCTATAATATAACATATAAGTATGGGTGAGATTGATGGATAATATTATGTATATATTTATATAAGGAATGAGTATATTCATTATTGTTAAGCAGTGAGCCACTAATTACTTTTTAAAAATCTTGCAGTTCGCATTTGTAATAAAAACATATGAAATTATTTGAAAATGTAATAAAAAAAATAGATACTATCCTTAAAATGAGCTCGTGAGCCTTAAATAAAGACATTGCAGGCCAGGATGGAAGACTCCTGATATAACTATTTTAGTGGGCGGGTATTCCTAAAAATCGTTTTTCTGAAGTACTTAAAGTTTTAAATACTTCACCTCACCACTGTGGCACTGTACCTACATACCTACCTATGCGACGACGGGTAGAAGATGTAGGTATGCTGAGTGTACGTATTATAACTTTACGGTGTCACGGTGGGGGTGAAAGGGAGCGGTAAAACGACGAAGAAGACGACGACGTGGTACGCTGGGCAAGTATGTGTGCAGGTGAGGTCTGTAGTGCGGCGGGGAAAATTAACAGAGCGGCTAGCCAATGCGAGTGTTACTCAGTGAGTTTTGCCGGATAAGACACTGTTTTCCAGTCGCCGTAATCTGTCGGTGTGAGCTGTACAGCGCTCATATGCCATTGACGATCAAAAGCACCTCATAAAACACGGACCCACCGATCGCATGGACGCGGTCAAGCTGGAGGCCAAATGGCCGCCCGACAGGAAGTCCACCATCGAAGCATCCCAGTTTGGTATCTTCAAGGAGCCGTCCGCCGGAAAACGCCTGCGCACCACTGACAAGGCCACCGGATGTCTCCTGGTACTATCCCTGATCGCTGCGGCCGCTGTAGTGGTAAGCAATTCAACAATCCTACATATAATATTATATGATATAAGACATAAATGTGTATGACAAGCATGAAATAACGATAAAGCATTGAGTGCACCTATATGTCTTGATTTAAACTATGCCTACGGCCATTGGAGCAACTAGGAGGAGTTATGAGGGCTTAGCCCCCCTGACTACGATTTAGACCCTCCAAAAATATTGGTTTTAGATTATTGATTTAGATATAAGCCCAGTACGGGTTATTTTAATTACATAGTTTGGTTAGCCCCCCAGAATTTGAACCCTGTAGCGCCTATACCTAAGACCTACCACTACCTACCACTATACTATAAGTAATAACTAAAAAGAAAAAAATCTAGTATTTCGTGCAATCGCCTTTATTATCGATTCGAAATTAAATTTTTGTAACAAATGTTTGTGACAGATACCTATATAAAAGATCAGTAATTATTGAGTTTTAGTTTTTAAGAATTGTATGATAATATCAGAACGTTTAGAATAATGAGTACTCCACTTGGTTTTTGTAATGGCACACATATATGCATATTCAATTTCAGTCGTATCGCACTACCATTTTATAGCGTTATGAGTTGTTTTAAAATACAAACAAAACATAAATATGTAATATGTTTAACGCTTAAGAATACGAACTTTAAATGATAAAATTTTAAACGCCAAATATTGGGACAGAAATGATTAATGAATATCCAAAACCATCTATTGATTATTTGCCTGATGTAATTAAACTCACTGAGTGTAATAAAATATACTAAAATCCTGTCCCTTACACACTATTAAAACTAACTATGTAGAAGGACTATATTATGAATGTCAGTATTGAATCTCATTATTCGGATCAAACAAATTAGGCGTTACAAATTTACATAAGCTTACATAGTTTGTCGCTACTCTCGAGCTGAAAATACTAACAACACTCGTCATACTACAGTTCTGTAAGAATAATAATATGTTTAAAAACTTCATAGAAACTAAGCAGTTAACATAGTATATATTTTTATTTTTGCATCCTTTTCAACTAAGAAAAAATACAATTCCTAAAAGAACATTTACTTTATTAAGCACTGAAGGTTATTAAGAACCATTTTTAAATTGAGAACGTTTAAAAAGGAGCTCATCCGAGATGATGATGGTTTCAAAAATATATGGTACCTACCTTACTGTATGTCTTACACTATTAATGAATACATCTTGTTTAGCAGCGAACAGTTATAATTTCACAGTAAGTTTTTGATACGTTTACAAGTAGTTACACGAATAGTGCGTACTAATCGAGCCGTGAACATTATGGTCACCGAAACCGCGTGGTTATGATAATTATAATCAGATAGGTATACTTTCGGTGGTAATTATGTCAAACCACGTTTAGAGTTCACAACATTTTTATTTTATTTAGTTTGTCTGAGTAATTTGTCGGACACGCACTCTTGTTTTCACCGCGAAAGCGTATGGTTTTTTTTCATCAATTTTAGAAAACCGAAATCAAAACTTTAAATTAAGAATAAAATAATTACAGTTCGTTATCTCACATAATATACACATCAATATACACCAATAAACACCAATGTACGCAGCACCGAATTTATTTTCCGCTTTGTAGACGGGAACCATAATAATATACCTAACTATTACTTCGGATTGTATCGCGTTAATTACACCACAAATCAACAAGTATTATTGTATCGCATAATGTAAAATACGTATAGTGAAAACGAAAGTGAATTGCTATGCGTGTTTTTAAGTTATATATTATTATTTGTATGTGTGTGTGTTCGTGGAAAAAGAGAAGACAATTTTATGTGAACATGAAATTACGGAATACCTTTTAAGCAGCTCTCGATTTGCCAAAATTAAAATAGGAGGACTTTGCAGTTAAATTTTAAAAAAAGAGCGTCCCCATCACTTGTTAAAAGTTATTGAGCAGTATGGACTGAAAAAAAAATAAAAATGTAAGTTGATATATTATGTTAGATAGGTATTATAATTTATTGATCCGCGGTTATGGAATATACTTATTACTTATGGAATAAAAGACAAATTATGATGGTAACTCACGAATTTTGGTAAAATTGCAGAATTATGAAGCGTCCCGTGCAGCGTTCCCCTTAAAAATAATGATACGTTACTCTAAAATTTCTGAAAAATTAGGTGGAGTACTCTGTCCCCCAAGTAAATTAAATACGAAAACCGTTTTGGCAGCTTGATAGATTGCTATTGTTTTATTATCTAATAAAATAATATCTAATAATTTATCTGTTATTGCGAATTTTTAAGACATTTGAATAATAAAATATTGACAAAATAATTGTATGGCTAAATCTTTTCAATATTACTTTTAAATGTTTACTGATGAAAGTGTGTTTGTTCCAAGTACTTCTTAAAAATAGTAATAATAATTATCAAAATACAAAAGGTGTTTATTATTAGGCGAAATTATTAGTTGTAAAATAAAACTAAAAAATAATATACATTTCATTTATGTATTAAAGCTATTGCGTGTATTTGCGTCATTACATCCATGTATAGTAAAATGTTGGGAGTTACTCGAGTTCTGAAAATGCGTCTTTTAAAAATACGATAAGTGCAGATAATATGCACTATATGCGAGTGTATGCTATATGACAAATTACTAAAAATTATTAATTTTTGTTAAGACTAATTAATACCTATTACCTACGTTTCATATAAATTATATCTTATTGAAGAATATTAATTTATAATATAATTTAAAAGTTAAATTTTTTAATAAATAAAATATATTAATTAATATGATAAATGTTGTTTTTTAGCTGTACTTCACTTTCTATGATTATACAGTTCCAACAGCTCAGGGTGCGTCTACTGGACCAATAGTGAGTTACGCAAAATATGTAAAAGAAAAAAATACGATGACTACTCAAATGATTAACCGTTCAGCAGACGGGTTTCTGACCTCAGTTCTCGGTGTGCAAAATGCCGAAAACTACACGACACGTGCTTCGGAGGACGACGTAGATATTATCACCAAGAGGATTGACGACGGTAAATTAGGAAACGGTAGGCACATGCGATTGTATCCGCAGCTGGCCCCACAACATCCGGAGTATTTATCCTACGATTCAAATTATTGGAGAACTAATTTAAATAAAAATAGTAAGCTCGAATATGCAGATTCTATATACGGGTTCAATCGGAGGTCGGACTTTCCACAATTGGCGGCTTATCGAGCGCCGTTCCCGCCAAAGAGCATCTTGGACGTTATGAAGTATGTGACTGGGGCCCCTCACAAGGCAAACATTCCGGAATACATGATAGCACAAGAATCCAAAACTCATCGGTACTATCCTATCCGACCGGCAGAAGAAGTCAACAGATTCCTCCCGGACGTAAATACTCCAAGTGCCAATTTGAGGAGATTCCGCAACAAATTTGGTCCGCCGGTATTCTTGACACCACCTATCATGTCGTTCCCGGATGACTTTATGAAGCCACCCGACCTCGACGCCCGTTATTCGATGGATTTCGAGAGTGACATTCCTTTAGACCTTACGCTACAAGAAGGGTCAGCTAGTGTACCGTCACATACCGGCGTAATATTTCGTCCACCTTTTAACGACGGTTATCCTGTACCAGACTCGCCAAAACCAAAAAAAGTTAAAAATAAAAGAAAAAAAAAGCCAATAAGCGTAATGTTAGACATCTATCCATTATCGGATAACGAACACGAAAATGAACAAGGTTAGTAGTTTAAAATTAATTATATTGCACAAAATAATATAACTATTTTTTTAGATGTGTAGACAATATTATTTGAAATATAGTTGAGTAGAAATCCACCACTTGAAATTTATTATTTTCTTATAATAATTTGCACTTAAATTATAATTACAATATTATAAAAAAGGATAGTATTTTTTTTAAATAATAAAAAAATGATTATTATAATTTAATAGTCATAAATATCATAAGATGTACAAATTAAAGACATAACATAACATAACTATTCTGAAACATTTGATTAAACTATTTCCAGCAAATTCAAAGCTTCTAGGACATCTCATTTTCTACCATTTGGCATTTTGCCTAGGAAATAGAAAATGTTATTAAATATTTAATGTAGGTATATTGTATTAAGGAAATAATTTCAAAATTGGCGAAAAATAATTAGTTACATATTTTATTGTTTTAGAACCAATAAACCATTAATTTAATCAATAATTAATACTGACGCATTAAATAATGGTTTAAAGTGTAATAATATATATTGATTTTATTTAGTTGAAGAAGAAGAAGAAGAAGTGCATCATTCTGAGATGATTAATTCGTTAAAAAACAATGTTCTGCACTCAGATTCAGACAAATTATTGTTTAGTTTAAACTTATTTCCGAAATTCAGTGAAGGTGGACGTAGAATGTAAGTGTTACAATATATAATAATATCACATTAATAATATTGAAAACAATATGAAAAAAAGCTGGTAAGTGGATATCGCTTTGCTGTACAGTAGGTGACAAGTGGATCACAGTATAATGGATTTTATTAAATTTGAATTCAATGATATCATATCACTGTATACGAAAAACGATTCTGAGGGGAGAAGGTTTGTCAGTCTTGACAGTGGCGTAATTTGTTGGGGGGGGCAGGGTGGGCATTTATCAGCTACTTATCTGATTTAATCATACCTTTGGTTTAGACATCAAATCATTTTTTCTGCTATCCCTGCCCCTTGGTGCCATTAACATGATATATAATTACGATAATCATACAATTATGTCATTGGAATTAAAAATCTAAATAAAAACAAAGGATATTATTTTTTTTTTTTAGTTCTAAAAACTTAAAGTACGAAGAACAAGATGATCATAAGCCAATTATTCATTTGACAACGCATAAACCATTACAAGGTAACAACATCGTATAATATTTCAATTTTTTTTTTTAATTTATAGAATAACTATTATGATTTTCTATAAATATGTTATATTAATGTAGACAAAGAAGAAAAAGACGAAGATGAAAAACAACTTGGATATGAATATTCGTCGGAATCAAAAAATATAGCAAATATATCAAAAACACAATAGTGCAAAACTCAAGACTTGAACTATAATAATTACGTTACACATAATTAATACAAAAAATATTATAATTTATAAACTATTATTATAAGTCTGTCTAGTTTTTATAAACCAAAAATAGATATTTAAAAACTATTTCATTTATTATAACTATTTATAAGTATTCATTATATGATCCGAATAGAAAATTGTTTGAACAATACATTTCATAAGAAACAATTGACTGTAATATTATTAGTCTCTGTATTAATTCCTGGATTTCTATTGGGACAATCAATTCAAAAAACTATTGAAGTCTTTCAATCCCGTGTAACCAGCGTATTACTAAAAATACATATAAATTAAAAAATATTACCAATATAACGTAGGTATATTAAATTTAATTATATGATAGTATGAACCATCATTTAATCAAAATTTTCTTTTTAAATAATATATAAATCTTTCGAATCATTGCACCAGCTGATCTATATCAAGTGATGAGTAGGTCTTGTGAGCGACAATCGCCAAACAAAAGCGACAGAGAACATTTGTATAACATTTCAGTGGCCTTCGTATTAAATACACTTAGTATTTCTATTTTTGAAGATAATATGCTAATCCAACGGAGAGAGTACAGCCACACTTAAGATCCGTGTAAATATTTGGTTAGATTAATCATTAATATATGTCTTATATATTATTATATTTATTCATACCTGATAATACATTAAGGATATAATAATATTATTGACATAGATACTTATAAATTGACCTTTAATTACATAAATTAAATCACTATGAGAAAATATAGGTACACGCAATTACTATTTAGATATCTATTTATTTAATAATGTAAATCATTTTTAACACTTTTACCTAATTGTGAGAAAAAAATCAAAATGTTTATTATTATAATTTTATAAAAATTGTAAGAAAACATATTTTGTATTATTTAATAAATAATTAAAACAGATGTCGTATAAATCCATTGATTAATTGAATTTTTGTGAAGTATTATAATTTATATACAAATTATCTATGCATATATATTTGATATTAAGTGTCCAAAAACCAAAGTAATCTTAATATAGTATGTTACATAATATATACCTACGTACTCTGTACCTTCATGAAACATGTATTTTTTTTTATATTAATAAGGCTACAACATCTGAGTTTACAATTTTACATATTAATCTTGATTTTATGGGGGTACATAATGACCCTTTTTTGGAGGGAATTTATAGTAGGTATACATTTTCTAAAAGTAACTTAAATAGACCTATGTCAGTGGAAAACATAAATTTATTTTCTGAGTGAAACATGTATTATGAGGTATATTGTTATCAGGAGTTAAGCAATAGGGAGTTAAGCAACTTAAGAGTTAAGCAATGTGATGGGAGTTAAGCAATGTGAAAACAGTTCAGCTACCATGATTTAACATGAAAAAAAAAAGTATATTGTTATGTACAATACACTACAGTACCTGTTATTCCATAATGATACCAATATGTCATATTAATATGTAAATATTGGATTTTTTTTTGCAATATCCCAGCAGCCAGCAGATAATATCAGATTTTAATATAATACAAAAATAGCTAGGACAACGTACTTACTACTTATAAATGTGGTAGAAATAATAATGCCAAAAAAAAAAATATTGAACTACCGTTTCATCATATTTTACGAACCCTAATGTAAGAAAATACTAAGCACTATTTTAAACAACATGTTTATATATTTGTGAATACAATTTTTATATCGTTTAAGGACAGGTAATCTCTGCTTACAAAATTAAACAAAGTCATGTATTGAGATAAATTCTAATAATATCCAACAAACGTTATTTAATTTTAACTTGATGAATCTGTTAATTTTAATAACTGCAGAATCAATATTGTTTTCTAAATGAAAAAAAAATACTATTTATTTTATTTTATAGTTATTTAATTTAAACTTGGTCTGAACTAAGAAAAACCATTAAACTTTACTTTCACTCTTTACATTATGGTAAGAACTTAGTCCACCAGTATCCCATAACTCCTTCTATTGTCCAATGTAATTGACAAAAGTCCAACTCTGGCTCAACTTATACGAACCGAATGAATATTATTAAATAACTTTTATAAAATGTCATATTATATTATCCCTTCTGTAAACAATCGAATAGCAATGTCCGTGCAAAAACAATGCTGTATACAACAACGTGAGAAACTACAAAACCTTAATAATGCCTATTTGTTTGAGTGTGTAATTCAAATATTTGATAACGAAAATTCTAGTACCTATTTCAATAATTCTCTACTCTCCAAATGGAAACTAGAACTCCCAAGTTCCAACAACGTACACATCCAAATCCATTGTTTAATGTAATTTACATAATATTATATTATACTCACATTCACTGAAACAGTGAAACAGCTAGCACCTATACAGAATACACTAGCGTACATCGTATAATATATATATAATTTATTTTAGGTACTTAACAAAAGATATCGCACAATTATTTCTCACATAATAGATTATAATATTACCGAACTTGATTCAGATATACTCCATAGAGCAATCGTATATATTCTAATAGAAGACACACTATGTTATAATATAATGTCGCTTAGTGATAAAATATGTAGACACGCAAATTTGAAATTATTAATAAAATAATAGGTACCTAATTTTCTCTGCTTAATGTGTCTTTATAATAAATTGACACATAATGAAAATTAACACTAGGTGTGATAAGATATTTAAAAAATAAAAATACTCACTTTAAAATTATAATATTATAATATTATGATATTGTAGTACTCCACACTAATACACTATACATTTTTAAGGGACAATACAGAAAATATTAAAAATTGTCAAAATTAAAAATATAACATCAAGTATTTAATATATTTTCTAAATAATTTACATATTGTTGGATGCCAGATCATCGGTATTGGTTATTAGTTATTACGTAATTAAACAAGACAAGCAACATTTTAAACATTGTTTCAAGTTCACAATAACCAAAATGCATATTATAAAGACCTTATAAGGCACTCAATTTTTGCACTAGAAGATAAGCAGTTTATTTTTAGAGGCTCAATTATTTATTACATAAAATCTTTTATAAAACAAATTAAATAATGATACTTAATTTAGAAAAGGAAATAAAAATGTTTAATATAATAAATTATTTCCATCCATATATTATTAGCTCTAAAAACGCACTGTTGTAAAAGTATATCCATTTCATGCATTTTGATTGTTTTAAATTTAATAGCATTAATAATTTGAGATTGTTTATTAACTTAAATTAAGAGTACCTTTTTTTATATATTATAGGCAACAAAAATCATCAATTTTTATCCATAATCAATAATATAATAGTTGAGTTTTTTCCGAATTTCAATAACTTTCAAAAGAGGCGTAATGGAATTTGCATTAATTAAATTTATGAAATTTGTTATGTTATATAATAAAACGATTAAAACTAACTCTTTTGTTATCGCAGCAATGTTATGTCATGGCCATATGATACAATAAAGTTTAAATTGTGTGCATTCATATTGTATTCGCATTTAGCAACTGCTGTAATTAATTATGTGAAATTAAATGAAATACCCAGAAATACAAAACGGTACAGACATTTTTTTAAAAATGTGTCAGCCACACGCTATTTAAAAATACACTTTACCGTAGAACATGTAAAATGTTATGTATATTCATGTGTTTTTGTAGTTAATGCGCGTGACTATGTCTCCATCAGTTTTACTGTGACAACAAATCTAAAGAAAACAGGAGCACCTCTGAATGTTTATAACAGTATTATAATATACGGTTATGCATCTATGTTGCATCCACTAAATTGTTTTCTTTGAAAAGTGCATGATATTTATGTGCCTACAATAATATTGTTTAGAGAATTTGTGATGTTGTGCCTCAGTACCTGTAGTACTATAGTATTAGTCTATTGCTAATTTTCAGAATTTTCGGTGAATTTACTGTATAATAAATATAAAATAAGTAGCAGATCAGTATGGTATAATATGCTGCCTAACCTACATTTAGTAATAATTTAATAATATTGTACCTTATTCTGACTAAACATAAATTAATGCCGTACAAAACATAATTGTTTTTATTTGTTTTAACTGTTCCAACTTTCAAGTTGACAATTGTATTGTACCTACTGTCAGTCGTCAATGATTTACAATCAACTGTTAAATTTAAATTGGTAAAAACAACGAATTGTTTTTTAATTAGTCCATGCGAAAGAATAAAGCATTATGATTTATGACTATTTAAAATCAAATTAAATTCAAACTATAAAAAACATATACTTAAAATCTGTACCTAACTAAACCTGTATTGTATTTTTATCAACACTTGTAATACACAATTTGTATTTTTCAACAAAAAACACATAAGACAAAACAATTTAAACCGGATATTTGTATTTATTTTTAACCATTACATATTATATTGTAAGAAATAAGTTTAAATTTGTGATTATGTTTGAATATCGTGTACGTAATAATAATTGTAAGTTATCGCTGTTTCTCATTTGAATTGAGGCAGATATTGTGGGAAGTCTTCCGAATAACCAATCGAGTGGGAATACGGAGTTGGGTAACCGATTGAAACACCTGCAAATCAAATAGTATTTATTATTAAAAATATAACATACATTTATATGTATTAGGTGTGCATGTTCTTCTTGAGTTTTTATTATTTTGACTATTTAAAGTAATTCATTACCTAAACCACTTCTGTATCCGTATCCGGCGTATCCGGCGTATCCGTAAGGCGAGTACCGTGGATAACCACCGAAACCAAAGGAAAACGGCAAATGGCCATGCGAAGTTTCTGCAGTTTTCATGTCCTCAGCCACTTCGGCTGGCTGTGCAGCGGGCATTGCGAACGCGACATTCAACACTGCCAAGCACATCAGGATCTGGAATATAGAATAAAAACCATGTTTTATTTAATACGATTTTGGATAGGTAGTGGTTATTGTTCATTGAAATAATTAGATTTTTAAAAAAATGTACAAGCGGAACCATGTATCTAGTAGCTTTTATTTATACCCAACTTATTAAAATTATTACTCATCGAACATAATATTATTGTTGACCACATTATTAAGAGGATGTCAGCGCAATATTTGTTTTTTTTTCTTAGACCCACGCTCATGATAGTAAAACGCTTTCACCTAAAATCGTTGTTTATGATTTTTGAGTAGGTAATCTTGGAGTAATATAAACATTAATTATAGGAATTATAGAGAGTAATGTTTTTGAAGGTACTTATAATGACACATCAGTCTTTTATTATATTATTATTTAACTTTGTATTCGACTTTCAAAATAAATAAAACATTTTATAAATTTAAATTATGCTTAAATTATAATTATTATTTTAATTATATCAAAAAAAATTTCTCTATCGTTATTATAATTGGTGATTTTACTATAAGATAACTTAAAAATATGAAAAAAAATTATTTTGCGTAAATGCGTTTTATCTATGTTGTGCTTGGGTAGTGCGCTGACATCATCTTTAAGCTATTATTATTTCTGAACTTTTTAATTTACCAATATATTTGATAGTTTAATTGAATTTAAAATATATTTTGTGTAATCCAAAATTTTGAATTGGAGTGAATAGATCTATTATCAAATTATTCAATTTTAAGGGTAACATAATATTGTTCTGCACATTTCATACGTTGTTTTAATTTTGAGGCAAGTTATAAGAGTATAAAATGGTTGTAAATGTTTTTGTAAATAAAGACAATTAATAATATTGAAAATATGATGACAAAGTTGATTCTTCTAACATAAAAATATAAAATGGTAAAGACTATAGGTAGTATTGATACCTAACTGATTTAGTAAGATGGAGACAACACATCGGTATGAGTTTATGACGTCCTATTAAAAGTATTGTATTATTCAAATAAAAACTGCTTGTTTTATATAATTATATTTATTGTTTAAAATGCTAAATCGAAAATTAAACTTTAAAGAAATTTATTTTATTTTATTATTGTTTTAAGGTTTTGTTTTTTTTTCCCAATAGTAGATACGTTGTTTATTAATAATGAATACTTCATACTAAAATGATATGTTCTTTTGGAACATATTAAAAGAATTCTAAGATATTATTTATCAAGAAAACTATTACAAAACACGTGAATGTAATAAATATGTTCTGTTTTTGATAATGATTTAGGGATAAATATAATTTATAATATGGTTAGGCTTTACTACTATTAGTTCTTCATTTAGATTCTAAATTATTTTGAATTTTGAAAAACTATTATTCATATTTATTGAAAACAAACCAATATAATTATTGCATTATATTTTTAGTTATTTGAAATTTAAAAAAATAATAAATCCAATTCATACCGATGTGTAATTATATAAAATTCTATTGAAATACCTAATAAAATCTAAATTTTAATATGTAGGTAAAAGAAAATTTAACTTACCATGGTGAATGTAGCAGCCATTTTTCTTGATTTTTGTTAAGAATTATAAAGAATTTTGAACTTGTCTGTTAACTCAACACAACTCAACTAATTTTCATTTGACTCTACTCGTCCTTTTATTCTAATTTCCACCAATAATAGTTTTTTTCAAACAATAGACTAGTAATCACTAATGATCGATGCAACATAAATACGCAATTGAAACTCGAACAAGGATAACCACAAGTATATTCTTCCCTGTGGCTGAACTAAAGGTCATTTAATGGAACATTCGTCGTTAGAACAACAGTTTGTTTATAGTACTATTATTTTTATTATTTGTAAATTTTATAAACTTCTAATATATATAATATATTATAATTCATAGTAATTTGATTAAAATATAATTATGAAATATAGAAATTATTGTGGGTACATGTATTTTAATTTATTTATTAAGAAAGTACATCCTTTGAACATAATAATAACTTATAATATAGGTACTAAGTATTTTTAACTTTCTTTGTTGTTTATAAGCGATCTACAGCTTGGTCTATCTCACTCAGGGTTCTGAAATTCGTGACATAGGTTCTATATGCAAGGATTTGCACCTCGAAGCCAATTTTTTTTATTTCGAGGAGCTCACATGCATTTAGTTTTAGCTCACGAAAATCAAATATTTTTAGTTTATTAAAATGGTTGCCATTAACCACAGATTAAATTAGAATTAGAATTAGGAGAAAAATGTCATACAAAATTTGCTTACAAAATAATATATAGCCTATATAGGTGTTAAAAATAAAAATAAATCTTAAAACCAAATACTCACTTTTATGGTTTGCTTTCTAAATTCTGGACATATTTTTATGTAAACACATAAAGACAAATAACAATCTTAACAATATTGGGTTTAAGTCAGCATTTAAGACAAATAAATTTAAACAGAGTCTTTGAATCTGTCTCAAGTTTTTTGAGCAAACTTAAAAATAAGTCCAGATTTAAGAAATGGAAAATCATAAAATAAGTCATTATAGTTTTGAATGTATAATATATTTCAACTGAAAATTATAGAAAGATGTATTGATTTGAATCCTGAAGAGTAGGGTAATACAGAGATAGCTAATAAATATATTATCTTCTGCATAAAATCATTATAAAATTGACTTTTGACCGATTTTCGTAAAATGTTAGTCGATAGATCAGCAAGATCTGTAGTGTCATTGGCTAATTTCTATTACTTACTTTTTATTTTTCAACACATAAACGTTTAATTTAGTTGACTCGTGGAAGACTATCACGTTTTTGTTTATTTTATATCGTTGGCATTGGTTAAAAAAAATAAAATGTTATTATGATTGGATATAATTTTAGAGCTATATTTTACATTAGATCAAAACAACTCAAGTTTAAAAATATTTTTGCAGTTTACGTATAACGAAGTTTAAGAAGGGGTAATCCACAAGCATTTAATTTGCAGCACGGACAACGCCGTAAAGGATAAGCTAACATCCAGTTATTATATTATAATATTTTCATTTTAATGATTCACATAAGTTGGTAATATTTTTTTTTAAACTAAAATGTTTTATTTACTAATTCTATTATTAAAATTGTTATTTAACAGCTAGGTACCAAACCTTCAGGTTTAAATACATAATTTGTCAACAATAATGTTTACCTCGACCTGATGCAGTTCTTCGTACAATAAGTATAGGTAATAACATTATTTAATAACATGTGTTAGAAACGAACTCGCAATGCACACATGCAAATTAAAATGCACTATTCAGTATACAATTACAATATGTACTTAATTAATAATAATTGGATTGAACATTGAGACTAATTATATAAAAGGCTGATGGAAAACAGCTAAGTCAGCTATGTAAGTTTAATGTGATCTAAAATAATATTTTATTACATTCTACATTTTTATACTCACAATAAATCTAAAATATATTAGGTAGCTTACTCAGTTCCTACCTAAGTACTATCAATGATTTGTATAATCAATGATATCAAATAATAATTTATATAAATATATTTAATTAATGATGGTAGGTCTACATGTACATAGGTACCTACTATGTAGATTTATAGAGACCTCAATTAATCAAAATATTATTTCTTGTCGATGTTAAGAACTTCCACAACTACTACTATATTATACAAACACAAATAGGCAGATTGACCACGAATTGGTGTTTTTCTTATATAATAGTATAATCTGTTAAATACCTAATCAATCTGACAAGGCTATTCGGTCAATTAGTAGATATTTTGCTTCAAAAATATAATAAATTAAAATAATGAATTGTTGATGACTTTATAACACATTTATACCTTAGGTACCTACGGTATTCTATGATGAGTTTATGATACAATATATTTTTTTTTGCTTGTAGTATAGGTACAATTCGTACAACCCAAAAATTTGTATGGTTATTATTTACCCTGTAATAGTGTAATTGTAATATAATGTTTTTTCAAATACAAAACTATAAAAAAATCACTATTTACTTAGTTAAAATATTCAGAATTCGATTTGGAAACATTATAAAATTAATTAGAACTAGGTATAACTTTTAAATTAATTAATTCAATAATTAATATAATCTATTCTACAATTTATTATCAATGACTATTAATTGAAGGTTACTTAGTTGAAAATAACACTAGAAATTCAACGTATTGAATCAAAATAATATAGGCACCTCATAGGCGTGCGCACGGGTGCAGCAGAAGGTTCATATGCTGCATCTGCCACATTTTTTGGGCCGATTGATTAGTCTATGGGCCGGTCGGGGCAATTCATTATTTAATAATTTATTATAAATTATAATAATTAATAAGTAAATAAAATTGATGTGAACCATAAATAATATAATTATTTTTAAAATAGAGCGTAGACAAATCTATCAGTTAATATGTTATTAAACAAAAATATATAAAAATAAAACGAATAGGAAATTAGGAACTATAATACTATGTATATATTCAATGTTTTGATTATTGTCGTCGGCCGGGAGGTGGTAGAGGTTAGCAGATTAGCTCTACTAGCTAGCTGGCGCGTCGGCCGCTTCCGCTGGAAAACCTTAGGTACGTTCTAAAAATAGCCGATATTTTCAAACAGTTTCTACAAGTATTAAGGATATTTATTTTGTTGTAATACCTGTGACCAGCTGTTCATGTGAAAGAACTTTTTCAAAATTAAGCATCATAAAAAATAAATTAAGAAGCACAATGTCTCGGGATAGGTTAAATTAATTATTGTTTCTGTTTGTTGAACAAAAAATGACAGCAAATGTTAATATTGATGAAGTCATTGACCAGTTTAAATTAATGGTACTAAATGATAGAAGACTTGTTTTATAATAAAAAACAATTGGGAATTATTACTATTGTTAAAATTATCATTTTATTTATAATCCTATTTCAATGTACAATGTATTTTATTTAATTATTAAAAAATAAATTGACTAAGTATTTTATGATTTTATGTAGGTAATATAACTAATAAAGTCTGATAGTAATTGTAACTTGGTGTTTTCAAAAGCAGTGAACAAATGTTTCCTTAAATTTTGTATGTGAACATTTGTTAATTGTTAAAAAAAAATGATATTATTATACCCACTTAGGTAACAATAACACTGCCTGTGTATTTGACTATTTAACATTTATTTGGCCGATTGTTAAAAAATGGGCTGCTTAATTTTATATGCTGCATCTGCAATGAAAGTCTGCGCACGCCTATGAGGCACCTAATAGGGTAAATAGACTTAGAACTTTAATTGATAAGTAGGTGCAGGGCCGGATTTAGGAATGTGGGGGCCCTGGGCCCACCTTTAGAAGTAGATTTTTTT